AGATTTCCCAGGAGGAAAATATTTAATATTAAAATAACGTTAATTTTTTAGGCATATTATACGTCTATAAATGTACGCCTACAGGTGTATGTTTTGGTAAAATTCCATTAATTTTCACGACATGATACGAATATCATGTGAAAATTAATGGAATTAATACAGAGTAGTTTTAAAAGATCTCACATGCAATTAAATGCCTTTAAAAACATGCAATTATTACACTTATCGCACAAATCTATTGATTATAACAGGCGACACTGCATGACACTCTCATTTTTTGACAAGTTGCGTTCGCACGCATGCGTCCGGCGATCGGGACTACTGATACTTTTCATCTTTAATATACCGGACATTAAAAATATCGTTTTAATTGTTAAATTGTTATTTTTAGGATGAATTTCGTCAAAACGAGTTTTTAACTAATTTTAAAAATTAGATAATTGATTATTTATTTATATATATAATTAAATATTCAATTTTCATACTATTAGCTACATGCTTACGCTTAACGAATCTGTTAACGATTGGCCGTCATTTTGACAGACACGTGCTCATTTAATCAGTTTTTTTAATACAAAATTTTTTAATTAAGTTTATTTCTTTTTTTTTAATTAATTGTTAAACATTAAAGTTTTTTTACAATAATTATTATTTTCATTTTTAATTGTTCAAATAAATAGTAAGTATTTTTCTCCAATGTGGTCGGACACTGGGATGTGTCCGGCCACTGGGACGTTTACCTTATCATAAATTACATAATGTGGTGTTTTGAAACTATTTTTGTACATAATTCGTTGAAAACAACTATAAATGCCAAGCGATCATCGTCGCACTCGCATTCACGATATGTATATGTCTATTGTCTATCGGTATAGTTCAGTTTTGTTATTTTGTTTGTCTGTTTAGCTATCCGTTGCGGTAAAAAATGAAGTATTCTTTGTTTGCCTTACTAATTCTGGTGATGGCAATTATGAGCCGTGAAAATGTCGAAGTGAAATATATATACGAATGGAAATATGCTGCTTATGCGTGGCAAAGTCAAGAGCAAATGGAAGTCGCGGTAGCTTCTGGAAATTACAACCCTAAAAAGTGCTTATTATACGATGCATCCAAAGCAGACGGTAGGTTGATGGCAGGCTATTCAAAGAAGTACTGATTTTATACAGAAATATGAATACTTCTATTATGTTAAACGACAGTTTACGGTTATATAGCATTGAACTACTTTCTATAATCACATTATGATCTGTATACATATACACTTGATTATATATGTATACTTCAATATTGCTAATGTAATAAATAGCATTATTACGTCTGTGAAATTTGCGAAATAAATATATCTTTTAATAACGCGCAAGTTCCGTTTAGAAACAAAATTCTTATAGATGGTAGAGTATTCATTACTATACCGAGAGAAATGGGCCCTGGTTCACCTGCTACTTTGGCAACAGTAACTGATGTAATGGGAACAGGAGGTCCACTTTTAAGTCCATATCCAAATTGGAGTTGGCATACTAGTAGGTGTATGTGCGATGGTATTGTAAATGTTCACCGAACGCATGTAAGTATTAATATCTTTCGTCCCAACGGTTTTTACATCTTACAGTTAGGTATTGTTCTTTAAATGATCAACAATTTATTATGTGTTCCACCTATATGCACTGCAGTCAGCTTGCACAATATGTGACAATATGTGAAGTGGAATAATTTTTATTTTCTCCTCAGATTCGATGCAATCATCTTTTTGTTCTGGATAACGGCAAAATTGGACTCGATCAAATTTGTGATCCAAAATTATTGATTTTCAATTTAGAAGATGATACGTTAATTAAAACTATTCACATTCCAATTGAGCTCGCCACTAATCAAACGGGTTTTGGATTATTGGTAACGCCTTTAGTTTATGTTCCCGGAAACTGCTCACGATTCTTGGATGAAATGATTGTTAGTATGTCCTCTCTTTTAATCACAGTAGCACACGGAAAAAACAGTAATGTTGTATTAACTGCATTAGCTAACAGCAGTCTAATTGAAAATAATTTTGTCAATTTAATAACACAATATTAATGAAATAAATGTCATGCTTTTGTCTTAATAAAATGTTATTTGTCTAATACTGTTATTAAATCAACAAAGTTATTTTTAATAAGACTGTTATTAGCTGTTAATACATCATTTTTTCTGTATACATATTCGCTTATAAAAATATTATTTAGTTATATTCAATACACATATAAATACAGGTATTTATAGCTGACATGCAAGGTTCCGGTTTAGTGGTGTATGACGCATCTACAAAGCGTATGTGCAGAGTTGAATCTGATTACATGAAACCGACTTCTACTTTTGTTTCCGTAGCAAATGAAAATTTTACTTATGTAGGCGGTATCTTTAGTATGACAATCATTTACGATGGCAAGTACTTTTTAATATAAAGAATATTGCTTTAATTTTAATATCTAACACGTATGTACATGTCATGTATATTTATGTTATGCGCGCTGATAACATAATCCATGAAACATAGAAAACTTTCTTGCAAATAATCAATAGCATTTTGCTGATTTTTATAATTTTTATATTTCTTTTACAAATATTTTAGACTTATATTATGGTGCTGTATCGGGAAAGGAAATCTATAAGATAAAAATGAAGACGCTATTAGAATGTCCAAATAAAGAACAGGCTAATAAACAAAGTAAAGTCGTGATTAAATTATCAAGCCTATCAGGACAGATAGCATCAACGGGACATGCAATACTTTATAGCGATTCTTTGACAATGTCTATTTTAGGCACGAACGTTTGTACGAAATCCAATAAGAACACGGTAAGATATCTGAATGCACTTATTCTTTACGTATTAATCGATAATAAATTATTTAAAATTTTATTAACGATTATCACATCTAATAGTTGTTACTACGATTTTACTGTTGTTAAATAAAACATTAATTTTAAGGTGGTACTCGCACAAGACTTTGAAAAATTGCAAACTGTATGTTCGCTGAAAGTTTCATATTTTTTCAATGAGGTAACGGGTCTATCAAATAGATTTCAGCGTCAGGTTCTTGGTACCATGGATATATATGAAATAAATTTCCGCTATTTCACAATGAATTTATCAGAAGTACAGAATAAAATTTTTAAAAGTGTAAAAGGAGATATGATTTCTCCAACCACTACTAACGATAACTTTTGGGTATCATGGTTACTTAACGTATTGAACGAATATTTTTACATATATGTATGATTTAAATTTACATATACAATATGTATTATATGTATAAGTCTTACATACATAATGCTACTACAAACAATTCATCTGTTTTCTTTTAATTTAATTGTGTGATGTGCTAGCCGCTGCCGTACGAGGACTTTCAGTGAGTCGACGACGCCGAGTGCTT